AATGTTGTCTTCAGAAGTCTTTAGCGTCTTGAGTTCATTACACATCTCGCCGAGATCAACATATCAAGTAACAGCCGCGGCGAGACTGTCTAAGTACAAATCTGCTGGCTTGGTATATAAAAAAAGAGGCCACGAATGTATTAATATAAATTTTTTCTACCGAATTTGCATAATTATGGGTCCAAAACGGTTGGTATCGGCCTGAATTTCCTCCGAAATCCCAACCAGCTCTCATAATAAATTTCAATCATAAAAATTTTATGACGAGAGCGCCGTAAAATAATCTACATGTGTATTTTTTTTTTAGAGAAATCGGAAAGCATCTGGACCTCATCACAACCGGACGGACGGGCGTGAATTTCCAGCCAGATAGGAAAAAACTGAATATATATTTAAGTACAAACTCTATCTCTTGAGCTTTGAATTTGATATCAACACATGAAAGGTCAAAAACACCCCCACACGGAGGAAAAAAAAACGAGCGAGAGAGTGGAAATCCAAGAAGAGACTTGTCTGGCAGGAAAGATAAAACAGAACTCAAACGCTGGATTTTATCTTAAAATGTATACGGCTCGTGATGATTTTTTTTTTTTGAGCGGAAATCGTTCAAAATTGAATGTGGGTGGCAACTCGAAAGGATTATGTTTTATCGCGCGGCGTGCATATGTTGTACAAGAGAGCGCGTCTCTCTCTGTCTGTGATGATATTTAACCCTTCAGGAGACATTTTTAATTATTAACGCTGCTGTTAACCCTTATTCTGCGAGTCGCCGCTTCAAAGAGCGAGTGGAAAGAGGTGTCTTCTCTCTTTCGTGAGGTGAAGCTGATACCACGACCTCCGACACAGTGGAAACCGTCGGAAAGGACTGCGAGCTCTCCGTGCATCATGCAAGCAAGACCGAATTTTTATTTATAAATAAATTTATATATTGGCCGCGCCGATCTGCTGAGAATAACATGAAGGACATGCAAGGAAGATATATCCGCCGTCTGTTGTTAATCAGGAACCTCTTGTATGAGACGCAGCTTGGGTTACCAATATGTACAATGTAGCACTACTTTACATGGCGAGATGTAACCTGGCCTGCACCCTTTTTGCCTGATTGAGTTTCCCTCGAAATTACGAGAAAAATCGAGTGTGCATAAAATAACTTGTCTGGACAAGAGAGGCCAGAATATATAAGACAACGGATTTTTTTTCTAGTTATTTTTTTTTCTCGGTTAATTTTTGGTACAAATAGTGCTAAAATTATGTCCGCAATTTTTTTAAGAGCGACACGCTGTGAAATTTCTCTGCAAAAAACAGGTTTTTGGGCGAGAGTGCTTCTCCCCGCGGTCTGGATTTCGCGTGCATGTATGAAAACTAGTCGCGATGTCCTGTGCAAAATATGTATGTTATATGGCGACTTACACAAGTTGTGCCGAAAGTGTCAAGAGTTTGCTGCTTTCGTTTTTTTTTTTTTATTATTGACACGCGTGTGTATGGAGAATGATTTGCCGTATTTCGAACGGCTGAAATCCAAGAGGCAGGGCGCGTCAACTTTAATTACTGGCCAATTGTTGAGAATTTCCCCTTTCGGTTCGGTGACCCCAAAGTTGCCAATGCTTATTAAAGTCGTCATGCATGCATGTCTTTTTTGAAATATAATCGTCAGCAGACCAAAAGGAATAAAAAGAGAGATGTATAAATAAAATAAAATTCTCCCTTTTGATACGGCTTTTAAGTAATCAGATTATATCACACATAATTTTTTTGTAGAAAAATTCCGTGGAATTAATTTGAAAGCCGTCTGTGTTATAGCTTTTGAGGAATTTCTTTTGTATATAAAAAGCTACCATTCTCAAAAGAGTTGACACGAAAATTCATGTCGAATATAAAAACATACCAAAATGTCACTCCCTTTTATTAATTTTAATTGACAGCTGATCGATGGATGGATTGGCTTGTCCATATAACAAAAACCGATCGAGCAAACATATAATATATATTGTATGAAAACGGATCACCACACACCTTCCTTCATTATTGGTCAGCGAAACAACTGAGCAGAAAGTGTATCAATTACACAGTCCGAATGTAAACGGATACCTTTCTGACAATCAGTATAATTTCTCTGCGGAAAAAGAATTAATGTAAGAGAAGAGTCTGACGGCGCGTGTATATTTATATATATAAATAAATTTATTTGTTTGTTTGTTTGCTCTTGGGTTTTATATGTGAAATAATTGATTGCAAAGCTGCGTGCATTTCTTGTTTGTCAGTGGCGCGGCGAGCTGAAAAATATTCATGTAAAAGTGCATCGATCGCGCGCGGCCCGAGAGAGTATATAAAATTTATGGACGGATAAATCGCGCGTGGCATCACTTATGTTCACAGTTTACCGATTTCATCTGACTGTTGCGAGAAGAAACAAGTACACACACAGAGTTGCCCCTTTTTATATAAATATATAATAATATAACACTGCACACAGAGAGAAATATAAGCGCGATAAAATGAGCAGAGTTCTTTAAGCGAAAAAGAGAGAGATTCCTTTTGCCGTTTGTTATTTAAAATATATATATTAAATAATGCATCTCCGTGTGATCGGCAAGCGGAGAGTGAAATTATATTGTTGTCCTGCTCGCGCGCGCGATTTTCACCAGATTATTGGTCGCCAAGAATAATGAGCGCGCACAAAGCTCTCCGTGCCAATCTGCGAGCATCAAGTCTCCTTCTATGGCTACACAGCCTAAAGTGGAATTTTATATATACATGTAAGTATATAAACATGTAAAGAAGTCGTGCTTTTTTGCTTTGTGTCCCGCGAGCCTTGGCGCGAAACAAAGGAACTTTTATCTTCTATTACGAGGCATTATTTGCATTTTTGGTATATTTTTCCTTTTACTTCTTATCAAGTCTCGGATTCCATTCAAGCACCTCCACTTATGTGTGCATGTCCGCAGGTCAGGAATAAATATACGAAGATCCATTTTTTATGCTCAATATATCTCCCATTATGAAACGAAATGAGATTTTAGCAGCCCGGCAGAAATAAATTGTCTAAAAGAGTTTGATATGAAAAGGGATCCTAAAGGCATTAAAACCCATTAAAATTTGTAAGGCCTTCGTACTATTAAAATTCCATAATATACAACAACAACAACATCGCAGCACAAGAGAGGAAAACAACGGAGGGTTTTTTTTAGTCTCTCCTTTTATTAATGAAGACTCGGCAGGAGGGACTCCTTATTTATAAATACGTTTCGACTCCTTATTTTATTACAATTTTTTTTTCTCATTCGGATTCAAAAGGAGCAAGGCAAAATATGTATATATTATCATATCCATTTTCCCATTAATCGAGCTGTTAAGAGCAACCACAGGCGCGCAGAGTTGAAACCTGTTTCGCGCGCCCAGACTCAAATATAATAATGTATATATAAATTTCGCGCGGACACAAAACACTAATGTGACTGCTGCACGTGTGCGAAAAAAAAACACAGCCAACTTTCTCCCTGGAGCAAAAGTAATTAAAATGGCCAGCATTCCGAAGAAGTTCATCAACGATAAGCGGAAAATATATAAATAGAAAAAAGATATTCGAGAGCGAAATAATAAAGTGACACCTTTTTAGGATTCGCCTTGAAAGAGCCGCGCGTTTATATGGCGTCGGGCGAATCCATTAAAAGAGAACAATTTATCACCGCGCCGAGATCACGATCGAAAAATAAATTTCCAGATTCATCACGTGCTGGAATAATAATTTAATGAATTCCAGCGATGGCGTACCGATTGATTTTATCCGTATTTAGATGCGTTTCAATTAAATCTCTCTCTCCGCGAACCAGAAATTCTTGAACCGCGCGGGCCCGATTAAGTTGCTGCCGCTCTTTTTGCACGACCAGCAGCAGGTTCACTTCTCGCAGAGGGTAATAAATATTCAGGTACGGTGCGCGCACTTCTATATATTGGCATTGTTGCAGGCGAGGACGCACGATACATATTTGTGACTTACTATCCGGCCAATCGGAACGGCCGTCGACGCTGGCACTGCGTTTAATTGGCCGAATAAAAAACAAAAAACAAAAAAAAATAAACAAACGAAAACCCTCATTGTTCCACTCCCACCGCCTTTCGCGCTTTTATTTCCACTCGCGAAATTGTAATTTTTATATTCAGACGTCACTCCCCCTTGGCATGAGCAAAGAATTAATACATATGAAAGAAAAAAAAACACCCACTGCGTACATTATATATATTCGGGTGGACACATCTGCCGCCGCAGCACCCCTTTGTAATTTCTCTGATTGACCCCTCCCCCGTGTGCGTTCGTTTTCGGTAGGAGGGATTGGAAAAAGTGATAAAATAATTCCGACCATTGCGGTTCGTTTCTCTCGCTTTATTTGTATTGCATGCGCCGCATTGTTGTTATCACGCGACGAACCATCAAGCGGCTGCTGGCGAATAATATAAAACGAAATGCGTGCGCTGCCCCGCCGCTTTTGCGGTTCACTTTTCAGAGGCGTTTCCTTCCCTCAAACACACAAAATAATCATAAATATTAAAAAAAAAAAAATCAAAACATCCATTTATTAAATTTTACCGTAAAAAAATCAATTCTGAATTGGATCTGACCGAGTCTCTTCATTTAATTAAAAATCAATTATTTCCAATATTTTTTTTTTAATAATTTCACCCCGTCGGCTGCTTTGAACGTTTTGTAGGTTAAATTCAGGTTAGTCGACTTGTCAGAGTTGCGAAATAAAATTTATAATTGAAAATTTCACCAAACCCAGTTTTGAAAAAAAATCATTGCCGCAATTGCTTGTACATAAATCTTGAAGAGAAAATAAAAACTTACACGGTCGTATAACATTTATGCAAATCCCACCATTCTGGCTAGAAATGAGATCGCAGCTGCTTTTTGCACACATAAAAAAAACAAGACTCGTGAGAGTAATATTCACGCGGTTCTCTTTACTAATAGCAATAAAAAAAAAAATAACTTTAATACTCACTTGCACCAAAAGGATGGCCAGATTGTGCTGCTGCGGATCTGAAAGTTGCGCGGCAGCTACGGTCACACTCTGCAACAAAAACGGGTAATCAGATTATTGACACTGCCGTGCGAATTTCAAAGAAAGTTTCCGAAGGAGCAAGAAGTCACAAGATTTAGGAGGAAAAAGTCAGGTGCGACCCGAGAATGAAAGCAGGCCTGGAGTTTTATTTTTCGGCCATTATTTGGAAACAAAAGGCAGCGAAAGACGTATATTTTTTAACACCTATTGTGTATGTGTGCCGCGTGTAATGTTGATAGTACCTTTGAAAAGAAACTTCAACTTTACATTATTTACACGGCAGCTTCTTTCTTTAATGGCACACTCTGTTGGAAATTATATGGAAAGAACAACACAAAGATTTTTGTTTGAATTACGATGATGCCAGCCAGCAATAGTGCTAATGCGGTTTTCCTCAGATTGAGAAATATCACCAGGTTTTATGGTGTGTCTGTTATTATTGCCTTATAACTGCATTTTTTCCCCATTCTTTCTCTCTCTCCTCTTGTGTGTGTGTATTTCGATGTGTCATCCATCCATCTCTCTCTGTTAATGCACCAAGACAAAAAGTTGAAACAATGGAGAGCCACTGAAGTGCGTGCCTTTCATTTCCACGCCGGCCTCAAAAATTATATAAAACGAAACCGAGCAGAAAATTGGCGAATGAGTGGAAAAAAATATATAAGACAAATAGCCCCTAATTACATGAAATTATTTAAGAAGCAAAAAAAAATGAGAAATAAATTTCTCTCCAATATTACATTCTTGTGGTTTTACCAATAAATTTATATTTTTTTTAAGTTTATTTTAAATGAATAGAATTTTTATTGGTGTCGAGGTGGGATGTGAAAAGAGGTCGCCTTCGTGGTGGCAGGTCTGATGCAGAATTTTCTGTATAATTTTCCGCTTTCATTACTTTTATGCTGCATCATCATTCTCTGCACCGCGGCTTTGATGTTTCCCATGCTGCATCTATGCTGCACTTCAAATATTATTTTTGTCTCTTTCTCCTTTATGAAAAAAATATAAAAAAAAAAACGCCAGCCGAGCCTCCTCTCTCAGCTGCGGCTCTCAGCCGCCGCGAAACTTACTTAATATGTATATTTTATGATTTGTTTGTGTTGTGCATGATGCATGCAATATGTGCACCTTAATGTGAAAAAACGGCGTTTTTTGCGCCTCTCTTGTCAGCAAATATGACAGAAAATCTTCTCTTATGAGAGCGATAATAAAAAAAAAATCGTGCATTAAAGAAGATCCCCTCTTTTGTCTTTGAGGGAAATTTATTTTTATTTTTTGATGTTTCTTCTCTTACATGCTGTCGGCGGCGAAATAACAAAAAAGTTATAGTGGGCCTTTCTTGCAACCTCCTCACCTTAACAGCGAAGCAATTATTTTCCTTGCTTGCTGACATTTTTATATAATAAAAAGAGACACGTCATAAAACGATGTACTCTATGGTATATTATAAACACATACAACGTGCAGCAGCTTCTATGGCAAAAAAGCATCAGCACGGCCATCGTGTATGTTAGCCCTTTTAATATCTTATTCTTGGCGGCGCTTTTTCCTAGGCCAAGACGAAACCTGCTGAATAAAGCAGGCGGCACTTCTTTTGGCATTATAACGTACAAAAGGGACACGAAATTTTTTAATTCTTCCTTTCTGTATTTTATATACATTGCCCGGCTTGAATATAAAAAGGCCGCGCTCTGTATCGCAGAAAAAAGCAACACTTTATGTACAAGCGCGACGCGTAAGAATTTTATCCAATGCGCGGGTTTTTTGCGAAAACTCGTAACAATTTTTGAGACAAATCCGGACGCATTCTTGTTTCGTTTTTTGCGCGGGTCGTGTTATTGGTAATTGCTTTTATGGCAGCCGCATTCAAATAGATTTGCCGTATTTGGCCAGCAGAAAAGCCTCTTTTTTCACAAAGGACAGATGTGAACTCTATTCATGAGAAATTTAGAGAGTACCGTTGAGCATTAAAATAAATGAAACTTTATTTATCTGTTCATGTTTTTATTTATTGATTAAGAAAGAGCAATGCCCTGCTTTTAAATGAGAAATTTGAGAGCCAGAAAAATAAAATATTTTTATTGATTTGCTTGGGTCACTTTGTGTCATTGAACGTTTAAGGATACACATTAGTTTAAAAGTAAACAGCATGATGTCGTTTTTATTAATTAACAATATTTTCAGGTACCAAATAAGGCTTTCGCCACTGGTCTCTTTTGAGGGTAATTTTAGAATGGCATTTTCCAACAACTTTGTTAAAAGAGAAAGAACGGTAAAAATTTATTACTTGTGTCACACTAAATTTTCAATGTGATCAGACCAGTTCGGGTTTGGTCTAAAAATACCTTTAGTTTCCACAGGTTTTTAGTGGATAAATTTCCCGCTACAACATTCAATGTTTTAAAACAGGCTCTGAGGTGCCGAAATAAATTCCTAATACATTTATTTAGTTTTAAAAATAAATAAATTACTGGATATACAAAAGTTTGAGATTTTAGTTGCGTATATTAAATACAAAATCTGCTGGAAATTATAAATCAATTGTACATTATAATTAGGATAAATTTCTGCGTAAGAGATAAGGTTAATATTATATTGATTAATAGATTCTGATTCCTGATAAAATGCTAATCTCATAAGTCAAGTATCGTTAGGTGAAATTCACTTGCAAATAAACCTGTTTAATTTCACTCAACTTAAATCCCAGAAAGATCGGAATCTTTCTTTAATTGCAGTTGGCCACCAAAGATCAAGAGTCATTTAGATAAATGTAAAAAGTAGAATTTTTATTTGGTCAAGAAAAGCGGCGGTTTTTGCAATACAAATCGGGATTCCACGTTTAATATTGCTAATGGAGAGAGCGTTTAAAATTCTCTTTAAATTGTGAAAAGTTGTCTTTCCAAGTTGAATTTCAGCAGACCTGCCAGTTTGATTTATGCGTGAGAATATTTGCTCGGTAAAACACCGCGATCGAAACGCAAACATAATTTCTTATCCTGGCTCGATTTTCTATACAGATGTTATTTGCGGCAAAAACGAGCACGTAAAAACTTGTCCACCACGGCCTTTGATATAGTACAAGCGGTTGATTTTTCAAGAAGTGAATTTATGCGGACAGCACGATGTGAATTTACCTTAATTCTGATCTCATTTGTACGAGATAAGGTCTGCAGAAGAATTATGGCCTCGGCATCGCGGGCAGTGCCGTACTGGCGAAGTTAAACTGCTCTATCAAGCGACACATACAAGAACGACGAGCCAAGCAACTTGCTTTTATTTTAAACTGCCGTGTATAATATAAAAGAAGCGACGGCGGAAAAAGTTCCCTATTCCGCACACGTTTTGCGCGAAAAAGCAGACGTTTTGTTGCCCGTTGAACAAACTAATTCAATGCGCCGCTATATGGACTTACATAACTTTCGACAGCAATAAATCAGTCGGGCCTCATTGATAATGTTATTTCAACAATAAAAGTCGTATATGAAAAAGGTATAATAATAATCAAAGTCCACTTTTTGACTTGCCCTGTGTAATTATTCCGGTCTCTTGCCGATTTAGATTCTTATCTTTCTCTCGATTAATCGCAAAGTCGTCGTTGAATAAAAGCAAGGAAATCTTGTTTGTTCTTAAACTAGACATTGTGCAATTAGATAGCAAATTAAAATAAAATTTTTGTACATAAATTAAAGAATTGCTTATATTTAAAACAATAACTTAAATTTAAATTTTTAATATATAATTATATAAAAAATAATTTGTCATTTTATTACACTATTTTTAGATGAAAGATAATGACACATTAAGTATTACATTATTAATATTTAAATATTTTTAAGTAATTGAATATTAAATAAAATATAATAAAAACTAGTCTACATGATCTCTGTATAGCTTTGAGAGTTGTTAAGTAGATTAAAATATAGTAACAAAATACGTGTTTTTTTTAATTATTCTGCAATTGGTCTAGGGAAAATAATTGTCGTAAATGTTAATATCTAGTTTTGTGTACAGAAAATATTCATTAAAAGAACTGTTTTAGAAGTATTTATTATTCAACATAAAAAATATATATATTTGAAAAATGGAAAAAGAACTACGTCGTTATGAGGAACGTAAGAATCACGCGGTTTGAGCAGAAAAGGCGCTAACGTAATTTCAGAATTTTGAGGCGACATCATGTGCCGCCGGCGGACAAACACAATGTTTATAGAGCGCACGCTAATGAGAGGACCAATATTTAATGACAATACGCAGCAGCAAAGGGTTAAGCGTGCTCGTCGTCAACCGAAGCAGCTGATGAAAGTCAAGAAAGAACGTGACCAGCAGTCGAATTAATTTCGCCCTAAATTAATCGTCGTCGAATTGGAACGCGCGCACCGGCGAAAATAGCCCGCGAATCGAAATGCGAAGACTTTGGGTGCGATAATGTCATTGTACTTGGTAAAATGCAGCCGCGGCCAGTTCATTTGACGAATTTAGTGTCGTCAGAAACTGATTTGGATGCACGCCACTTTTATTCCGATGAGTTGCTCGACTCTTGGCAAATAATCGACACGCATTTATTAAGAAAGGCGGCTCCCTACAAATTCGGGCGAAAAGATTTTATCTCCGGCATTAATTTTTAAAATTTTCATTTGAATAAACCCGCATAATATGTGTGCTGAATGTAATAAACGCAGAGCCCACTCCCCAAATAATAAATTAATAAAAAATTCATAAAACCAAAAAGTTTACGATCCGCGCGTCCTGATGGAAGACGAAGCTCATTTGCGCGAGCAAATCGCCATCAAAGTGATTTTATATACGGGCCTCCTCTTTTATTTATGGAAATTACGAATATTTAATAAACTGATGAGCCCATAAATTTATATATTCATCTCCTCAACCCGTTCCTGCTCCGTCTCTTTGTTTGTTTAAAACACGCGCAGGCGTGATTTCAGACTGATTTTATTTCCCATTCGGTGTCAGTCTGGGGTCAGGAGAAATTTATTTTCACCTCGTTTTATTTA